AGCCATTTAGGTAGCAGTAATACAATTAAAGTGGAAATGCCATCGGACAGAAGGGAAGACAGAGCTGCAGCTAGCACCCATATTAATGCTTTGTAGTAGAAGTAAGAACTTGTTTGTGCAAGTTTAACAACAAAGTCCTGCAACACTGGACTCTGGACAAGCAGCCTTTCAAGGTCATGAAAAAACTGAAACCCCAGAGTAAAACATCAACACGCTTATGCTTAGTTAAAAGAATTATAGCAATAGAAATCTCAAAATATATTTTAATTTTTTGCTAAATTGCTCAGCCCTACGTGAAACCTCATCTTAAATCAATAAGTCTTACTATTTTTAATCATTGCGAATGGGCACATTCATGGACGACTACAACCTTTGGTGTGTTGTTCATGCCCTTGAAACTATAGATACTTTAATGGCCAATACAGCAGTTACTAACTTTAAGTTTTCTAGAGATGTTCCTTCAAATAAAAAACATAATAGCAGCTGGAATAAAACAAAAGCTATTAATGTCCATGTTCAGACAGACAGAGAGCGTTGCATTAACTGAATTAACCGGATTTGACTACTAAAATCTCTGGAGCTTGATTCATATATTTGACCTTTTCCCCCTTTCTAAAAAAAACTCTTAAACACTCAATCTCAGCTCTTCTACTTCAGACTCCTCCTCCTCCAGTTCAAACTCTTTCTCTGCTGCATGCAGAGTCTTGTGCTCCAAAACCTCCTAATCCTCCATTACTGCTGTTTAACAGCCGTTAGCGTGGCCTCCTCCCTCCCTCCCTCACACACACACACACACACACACACACACTGCAGCTCCATTGACAAAAACCGGACGGCCAGCTGGGATAACGAGGCTGGGAAGAACCAGGGTGAACTATGTTTAGATAACACGCTCTCCTCCATTAAAGGGAAAATACACAAAACATGATGAATGTTGCCGTGTGTAATGTGGAGTCTGTCCCTCTGTTTAACCTGGGAGTTTCTAAAAATCTGTCAACCTTTTCTTAAAAGACAATTGCTTTGCAGCATCAGGTTATTACAACATGCAAACTGATTTTATTTACTATAGAAAAAAATCCTACTGCTGTCAAAATAAATCCATAGATATGTCATTTAATAACAATATAGAAAAGGCCCCTCAGCCTCCAGTTGGACATTTTTAAGTGCTTTAAGTGCATTCAACCTTTTAACTATTCTTCTCAATATGTAGTAACAAAATTAAAAACAATTAATCTACCTACTCATGTAGAATCCGCTTTACAAACATACCATTTCTGATTTCCTCAGCAAGTAAGAGCAAAAATAAACACTTTCCTTCAAGTGGAAAACCCTCTAAAGGTAAAGACTAATAGCATTACAGAGAGAAACTTATTTTGGGCCATAGTTACAAAAGGAACGTTATGTTTAAAAACAACACTGGATCACTGGAGGAGAACTCAAGACTCACTGTGAGACACGGCAGTGGAAGTATCATGATCTGGGCCTACCTTTCTTAAGATGGAACTTTTTTGCATCTGGAGTTTTTCCAGATGCATTTTGAACTCAGAATCTTTTTGTAGGTGCTAAAAAGCTAATGTTTAAAGGAGAGATTTTAGTTTTCAGCATCACAGAGTTTCCAAGATTTCATCCAAATCAGATCAGATCAGACAGAAACCAGAGCAAACTAAAACTCCTATTGCTACTGAAGCGGTTTAACGCCGTCAAAACAGGCAAATTCATACCTTAGGTGTGTGGGATGTCGCTGACCTGATTAATGATTTATGACTGAGCTCAACTAACTTGGAGAGAGGCTCGTCTTTGGGGTTTAGGGTGGAAATTTTTGTCAAACAGACTGCAGACTCCTCCGATCGATTGAAATCAAGGAAGCTGGGCTCGGAGTGCTTCTAGGGAGTGAGAGGATGTTCTTCAGTAAGGAATCAGGTAGAACATTTAGAAGAAGTTCTGCGCCCCTCAGGAAAAAAAAGGTTAATAAAAAGCCTTTATTGGTACATGGCTGATGTGCTAAAAACATGACAGTGCATCTTGGCCAGAAGCATCTTCGTCAGGGCAATGGCACATTAGCAATTTACCAATTTCCCTTTATTTCTTAAGTTTCTCAGACCTCCTTCTAAATCCTCACACCATTTCCAAATGCTTTTTTTTTTTTAAACTATAAATGTCCTGCAAATTGACCAACAGCAGAACCATCGGACATCTACAACTTTCGGCTTCAAGTAGGAAATTTAGCTTTTTTACCTATTTCATCACTTTTCAGAATAATATATAAAGAAAAATGTTATGTTTTATGCTCTTCCTTAAAATGAAATGACAATTAATTGTTTTTAAAATGACAGTAAAACATTAGACCCCCAATAACTCCTTTTCCTTCTATGATTAGAGGGCTCCTCCTGCACTTGAACCCACGAGAGAACGTGGAAACCTTTCTGAGAACACCTAACATTTACTTAAGAGGCCTCTGTGTGTCTGGTCAAGTGTGAGTGGAGAGGCATGCCAGGCATACAGGGAATGCCAGGGTGTCACTGTGGGAAGCGAGCTGCATGCATACACACAAACATTTTTCAGGCTACTTTAGTCTTTGCTCAAAACCACAGAAACCGGCCCTGAAGCCAGCAGAGGAACAGCGCAGAGTGTCCTTAGACAAACACATATGGCTTTTAGAGAATGAGCAGGGGGGGTATGGGTGGAGGCTGTTTGTCTGGAGGTGAAAAGACTAATGTGGTCCAAGCTATGGTCGGAGAAATGCAGCCTTTACTGACCCCTGAGCTGCAACAAAAAAAGCCACGTTGATTAAGTGCGTCATTTTATTCAGGAGGAGAATCAAAAGAAACAAGCTTGTTAATATGGAAAACCAATTAAGAGGCAGAGTGCTCGAGAATCTCTGACGGAGAAAGAGACGGGGGGGGAGGAAGAGAGGAGAGGGCAGGCTCTATCAAAGACTCTTGTTGTTGGAATTAGTAGCAAATGTCTGCTTTTTTTTGGGGGGTGCGTCCTTCGGGTGAGCTGTGGAGTTTTAACAGGGATGCGTACATGTGCGGCGAGCGTGCGTGAGGTTGAGGGGATGTTGGTAAGAATGGAGGGATGTCACGCTTTATTTTTCTGCCTGTTGATTCTGAATGTGACCAATTAGTGGAGCAGAGAGACACAGAGTGTGGGAGTGGAAGAGATGGAAGGGGGGGGTCCAATCTCTTTCACCGTGAGAGTCTGAGGCCGATCTCTGAGTCAGAGTGGGATGAAAGAAGAGGAAAAAAAAAATAGGGGCGAGCCACTACATAATGAACATAATGACAAACAAAAGGACTTTTCAGTCATTTCTGGTTGCTTTCCTCAGACCCCCGACTCAGTTTGACGGCTCGATTCTGGACTGCAGAGAAGCCGGGGCATGCTTTCTTTCTCTTCGTTCTTGCTACACAAATGCGAGTCTTTCATATAACACACACACACAAAAACTAAATAGTGATATACACTGTTTAAGTGCAGAAAAGTGAGCAGAAAGAAACATTAAGAGCCGTCAGGTGAGACAACAAACATCAGGCAATGTTAGCATGAGAAGTTCCTGAACGCTTGATATGAACTCTTTTTACAAACCATTTCTTAACCAGGATTTTTTTTTCTTTTTTCTTCAGATTGGTATTATGCTACTACAACAGAAGATTTTCTGAAGCTCTCCATCTACTTTCTACACCGAGGTCCATCCAACTGGCCATATTCACTATATTACCAAAAGTATTGGTTCAGAGCAACCACCAAGTCACAGCTTTTGGATGTTCTAATAACTTGTTAATGTAGAATGTAGAGTCCATCAATGAATTAGGCCCGATCGATGGAGAAGAGAATGTCTTTAAAGTTCAAATGCATTTCAGAGAAGACAGACACATTTAAGGCAGAATAGTCTGTTATTGATATCAATGCCATGAATGCACAACATTATAAATGTAGTATCTATATAAATATTGTAACCAAGGAGTTCATTTGGATTCATTTTGCAATCCATATGTAAAACAGAATGATTTTCCCTCAAAAGCGTTGGTTTCCTGAGTAAGGGGAGACCCTCTGGTCGGGGGTTGGTTGTAATTGCAGGGGAGTGTGCTACAAATTAATTTTTAGAGCTATGCTGTCTGAGTAAAAATAATAGAAAATAATGAAATAATCCAAATAAGGAGCATTCAAAAGCTTACCAAAGAGAGAAGTTTAATTAAATACATCCAAAGATTTTGTTTTCTCAGGTCCTTTGCAAACAACTATCAATTAAAAATGACATTGTTTTAATGTGATCTCACTAAAGACGGTGTAATATCCTTGCCAGGCCACTAGTATGCAGAATATTCTTTGGAACTCAACAAAATGCATATGCGTGGAAACAACCCCTCCACTGATTAAGCTCTTAAAATGGCAGGAACTAGAAAGTTTTACAGACCAGGTTAAAATATTCAGCCAACTTTGAATTACAAAACCAACACTGTGGTCAGCATCTGTTTTGCTGCTTGCCTTCATTTCTACTGATGGCCTCCATACCACGTACGGGCCAGGACTTTTCATTATAGCCAGATTTTATTTTTTCCTTTGTAAAACCACAACAGAATCTGGGTTGTTTTTAATCCTTCCACTCTGGAAACTGTTTTCAAGTCCAGCCCTTGTGGTGTGGAACAGAGGAGACAACAAAACTTTCCCTTTTATCCAAAAAAGGGGCACAGGGTCTGAACTGTGAAATCTTAACTCTAACGTCATTAGCGCTTCATTTGGGTTTTTTAAAGGAATAGTAATCTCAGCCAAAGTTGATTTTGACTATAAGAAATTAACTAAATTGTCCCTAAAAGATTATCCCTCTTAATACTATGTTATGTAGCTTAAAAAAAAAACACATTTGGTTATGCTAATAGATCCTAAACTGAAAGTGTCGGTGAGGAAAAAAAAAAAAAAAAAAAGAGCTGCGTCTTTAATCAGTGCCTGAATATAAAATATATTGTCTGGTTTGGCTACAGCTCCTGTGTGTTTATGCATACCTGCTGCAGGTCAGCCAGAGAGTAGAGGTGAATGTGCTGTAGAAGATATTCCCTGGGAAAAATCCTGTTGAAGAGACAAAAACATTTAGTGCATCACTTTCCTCACAGCAGGTGATCTGATCAGCATGTAGTAATTAGATGATCAATCAAATAAAGTGTTGCACCAGGCACAATTATTTACAGCAGCACACCTTAGAGTATTTTATTGGGATTTTATGCAAAAAAAGGTGGAAGAAACAATACAAGTTTTTCATCGGTTTTAAGCCTCCTTTACTTTATTACCTTTAAATAAAAAGAGTTTGGAGTAAAGCCATGTAAAAGATTTAGAAAACATGTGAAAGAAGATGCTACAGTAAAAAAATAAAAGAAACATTTTTATCCAAATGCGAAAAGAAACCAAGAATGAAACACGGTGGAGGCAGCATTATGGTTTGGTTAGTTTATAAAGAACGGACAGGGAAGCTGATCAGAATGGAGGAGGAGGGTCATTTTTCTGCATTTGAAAATCTATAAACATACTTTGGACATTTTTATCGCAAAAAAAAAAAAAGTTAAAAATGTACTCTGCATTTACAGCCATCTTTATCATACTAACCCCTGATGAAATACACTAAACTAAAATCAGCTTTTCCTTCTTCAGGATGTGAATGCAGAGGCTTCCTCCAATCAGATGGCTCCGCGTTAAATCCCATCTAAAGCTGTGATGAGTGTCGCTAAGGCACACCGACGTGTGTGTGTGTGTATGTGTGGTCCAAACGCGCCTTGGTGATAGACACCACTGATAATCTAATGTTTGGCAGGTTACCAACGGTTACCGAACCAGCATGCGTGACAACAAGCACACATGGACACAAAAACGGAGAGTGTGCTGTGTGTGTTGATCTTGCTTTGAAAACACTTGAGAGCTAACACATTAGCAGATTAGATTAGAAGCGGTTCACACAGATTTGGGAATGCACACAAATAGAAACTACTTCAATATTTGTATTAGTAAGACCTTATAATCCTTAACTCGACATTTTAAAGCAGTATCCCGAAGGATTTTTCCACTACAAGAGACACGCCTTTTATTGAGACTTTTATCACTACAGGATTATGATTGTTTACCAAAGGTAGGTCTGACCTGACTAGGAGTGTGGACTCTATGGTGCTTTGGAAATTTGCAAGTGGCACACTAAGACACTACTTTCCAATCCTATGCAAACCAAGGTTTTCCTATCAACAGCTGATCTAATCCTAGATGAATTTCCGACAGTCAATTGGATCTTTTGTTGCATAAATAAAACCTCATTCAGAATTCACAAAAAAAACAAACCGGGAGCAAAAAGTAATTATTATGCAATCAGTTTCTATATCAGCTTCCAGATTCAGAGTGTGAAAGCAAGGATAAACATCCCTGTTTGCAGCAGGCCTTGTAGGAAACATGGTGGAGAAAGGTGCTCTGCACAATAGAAAAAACTTAGTTTTTCTACCCTACAGTGAGAGAAGATGGGCATCTCACAGGGAAAGATGTCAACAATAGAAAACTTTTTAGTAGTGGAACAAGACCATAATCTGGAGTGGAGGTAATTCTTTATAAATGTGGTTCTCCATGTAAAGACTCTGGGAGGGGAATGCAGACAGACATTTTCATTTGTTTTAGGAAACTATGCATCATTTTCCTTAAAATTCAAATTGATGCAATATTTTGAGTTGATTGAGCAAATATAATCCCACTAAACCAAAACCCTCCGGTTTTAATGTGAAAAGATACAATGAAGTTTAAATAGAGGTTTAAACTCACAAGAGGGAGTCTTCTCGTTTATTTTAGATCTTAAAAATATACTAAATTATATCAAAGGGACAACACCAGATTTATCTATTTTTATCTAAATTTATGCATAGCAATAATTCTACCCAAACCTAAAAGAAGTAAGTTTTTTTATCTGAAAAGAAAGCTTTGGTAGTATTTTTAATCCAGAGATATTCCTGTTTTTAAGCAGAGCTGTTTGCACTACCTCAGGTTTGTTGAGAAAACCCATCTACTTTTCCACCTTTTGGCATTTCTTTGAACAACTGCAGAGCATGGAGTCAATTTAACCGCACAGTTCATAGATTTCATTACAGCTTCCCAAATATCAGCACCGTATATTTGTTAACACAAGCAGTGGTTGTGAACGAGTCACAATCCTCGATCTGCAGCAGCAAGTGGAAAACCCAGCTTTATTAACACTACCTGGAGATATTAAAAGACCAACAGAGTTAAAACTCTCAGACTGCATCTAAGAAAAGCAATTTCAAAATAAAATTCTGAAACATAAAGACAGATTATGACGTTCTTTCACTAAGTTCACATCTAATTGTTGTTTAAAAGCAGTGCTTTCACTGTTCCCTGTTTTATATTTGAGTCATCAAAGACTTAAGCTGTAGTTTTAAACACGCCGATCGCAGCGTTTTGATTGGCTGCTGTTCACCCCCTACCTCCTGATGGAAGTGGATGTTTTGTCTGTTCTAAAAGAAAACTTGAAAGATTGGAAAGAGGGAAAAATATAGAAAAAAAGACTAGATTTGTGAAAAGGGTCCAACTGCTGCATAGGTACCCAACAAACACTCCTCCATCAAACGGCATCATACATGTGTCTGCACGTGTGACATCATTCTATTTAGCCCTTCAGCCGATATGCCACAGATTTCTCTTTCCAGATGCAGACTGATGACATCAGGAAGGTTTTAGCGCCATGGACCTCATCAATCCTGCATGTTTGGAAGTGGTGGGCGGCTGGCCGGCATCACTAATGCGACAGAAGTAAACACAGACGCTTCTCTGAACAGCATCAAGCTTTATTAAGGAGATCTTAGAATATGCTGCCAGCTCATGGTCAAGACCAGCATTCAAGATTTGAATGGTAATGTTACATAATTTTCACTGCAGCCTTCATAAAAAAAAATGTATTTAACAAAAATACATTCAATTAAAACAAAAAATTGTTTAAATATCAGAGACCTGTATAATTTTTGGTTTATTTAGTCAGTTAATATTGTCAAAATCACTTAATATAAAGCAAAAAAGCTCTTAAAAGTTTTACGTATTTTGTATAACTTACACCTAAATATTTAAATATTGTAATGACAGTTATGATTAACCTACATATAAATTACCTTTTTTCCCCAATCATCCAAACAGCCCCACCTCTTCCTAAGACTGTAGGCTATCACACATGAGGTGAGCATCAAAGGAAGTCCATCCAAACAGTTGAATACATTACTGCCATACGGAGGGTAATAACATGGCAATTTAACAGCCAACCAAATACATCAAAGCTGTTCTTTACGGTTTTAATGTTGCACATCTTGATATTGTAAAAGCAACTTTGCCTCTATATGTTCTGCAGCTATAGAATTTTCCCGATAAGCACAGTTTTGTATGTTTTCTCACAAGGAACGGATCCAACTTATTAATATGGCTGCAGAAATCGACAGCATGACCATATGTTTTAATGATTTTACCATAAATAACCAACAAACACTACGTGTGTAAAAGCATTAATTAATTTAAGCTGTCTGTTTAAGAAATTCTCCATCAGCTGAGTGTATTAGTGACCCACTTCGAGGCAAGAGGAATCCATCAGAGAGCAGACGAGGCTTTCAGTGAGGGACCTCAATGGGATAAACAGTCATTCGCCGCCTCCAATCGTCTTGCACAGGAATGCGTCAAGATAAAAGGCAATATAAACAAATACAAACCCAGAAACGCACGGATCTTCTCAGGGGATATTAGATGTGTGTGTCATTTCAAATATCGAGATCATGAAAACTGGAGCGTTTTGAAGAATTGGCGCCAATTCAGCCGAAGCGGTAAGAAAAAAAGCAAATAAACAAAACCTAAAGTTGAAGAGCTCAGGGTGAAAAATGAATCCATTATTTCACCCTTTTTTTTTTCTGACAAAAAAATTAATCAATAAATAAAGAGTTAAACCAAATTCGAAGTAGTCATGTGTTCACTGATCTCTTTATATGTTAAAAAAATAAAGTAATAGGACGTGTTGTTTTTTATTTAAAAGCTTTCTATAAAAAAATTATAGTTTGAATAGAGATTTAATTGATAATTTTAATCATGAAGGTAATTATATTAATAATTGCTTCTAAATTATCTGCTATACAAATGACTTTTCTTGTCTTAAATTTATTTGAGATTATTCCATTGTTAGGAGCCATACAATTATGGCAAACTTTATTTATTTTCTATTTATTTCAAGTAAATAAAAAGTATTGTGATACGAGATTTGAGAAAATCTGTACCATCTTTAGCATTGCTTATGACTAGACCATTTTATGGGTGAATTAGCAAAAGGATCTATAAATCATTTGGGAAAACAAACAAAACTCGACCTCCAAAGTTATTGTCATGCAGGCAATTTGGAACAGGAAGTTTGCAAATATGAACCTCATAGAAACAGCACAAGCTTCTGGAAAACAATTTCTCAGTCATATAGTTAGTTGTATTTTGTTGACATTGATGCTCTAAGTTGTATAAGAAAGTTTAAAATGAGGCATTAACAGCACCGGACCCTTGCACTTCATTCCCTGATAATAAATCTATGCTCTTATACAGTGCACAGATATTAAAATACTTACACCATCCTACTATAACATACACAATTTACCTCAAACATGCTATTTATTCACTAACATGTTTTAAAGTATTAATACTAAAATTTAGTGTTATTGTTACTTTCTCTTCTTATTTTGTCAAAGTGGAATTGCTAAATACTAAAGAAAACAATCAATTCAGCAATTACCTTTTTTTTGTGGTAAATAAAAATAAGATGAACAACACATTTTTTCCTAATGGAATTTTTTTATATTTTATTTGCAGATATGCTCATGTTGTCTGAAAGAAAACAATCAGGATTTAAAATGAACAGATACAGCATTATTCTATCCAAAACAACCTGTTAAAATTAGTTGAATTTAACTGTGGTGTTTGAATTTATTTAGTTAACCTCAGATATATTGATTAGTTTCTTTGAGCCCAATGTGGCGTCTATGATCGACCTTCATCTCTAATCCTTATGGCACCACCAAAAGCCGCTATAAGGATAATGGATCGCTTCTCCAGACTAGATACTCTTGACCCTGAAAAAGAGATATTCGGACTTTACACACCAAATTAATTTATCAATAAAGCTTTTATTTAGGTTTTCATAATTCAGCTATCTAAACTCATAGAAAGAAAATATAATAACTTCTAACTTCCGATACCTGGGCTGAGCATGTCAGCCAATACGATCCAATTCAACTGTTGAATGAATGAACCATATATCTAGCCATGTGAGTAAAAGCTTTAGCCTTGAAATAAACATTTTTAAAATAAGTTAATAAATTAACACAAATATTAATATACTTTATAAAATTTTATTAACAAATAACCAGCAAGAAGAAAGAAACAGCAGCTTCATGTAAATTTTAATGGACTGGATTTCCAATATCTGATGTCAAATCACTGATTTCCGATCCACCTAATTAGTCAATATTGAAATCGGTATCCGATCCAGATACCATTTTGGTGCATCTCTATTTATAACCGTACCATAATTTTCGGACTATTAGCCGCACCTAAATATAGGCCACAAAAGCTAAATTGCATGATTTGTACATATACAAGCCGCACCGCACTATAAGCCGCAGGTTTTTTTATGTTTAATCTCCGTCTTTCTCGCTCTCGTACCACTCGCGGTAGAAGTCTGCTTCCGGAGGACCTCCGCATTCCCCCGCACGCGGCTACCGTACTTGTGTGTTGAAGCAAATGTGACGTCAACATGGTGGATGGTAAAATCCATAGATTTAGGTATTACGCTAGTGGCCGTTAGTTGTAAAAGTCCATAGATAAGCCGCATTGTTATATAAGCCGCAAGGTCGAAAAATGGAGAAAAAGTCACGGCTTATAGTCCGAAAATTACGGTAATTTATTTAAGATGACAGTTATTCACACTCGTCCTTCCATATTTACATCACTTCTTAACCCAGACTAAATAGACCCAATCATTTGTTATTCTTTAGGTCAGGTCTTCTATATTCTAATGTATATTCAAACTACTTTGACATAGATTGTTCCAAAGGCCTCATTTATACATATTGCTTCCACAGCCTCAGGATGTTTATTTCAGGTTGTTTAAAGAAAAGAGCAGCTGCACACTGCATCATTCAGGATTACGTAGCCTTTTACCAGCTGACACATATTAATCAATGCAACGTTTCTTCCAACTGGAGCCTTCTTACCTGTTTGTTTTCTTAAAACCAGGTGGCGATTTAGTTTGAAGCACACAACACTTATTATCCACAGCTGCTTTTGAAAGGAGAGGATGATGTGATCATTTCTAAACTTTTGACGGAAAAAAAAAAAACGGAAACCGACCCACCTTCGCCTGAGGTCTTCAGCGATGGTTGCCCTGCAGCTGAACAGGTAGGCCCTCAGCGACTGGAGCTGCTGACGGAGACGCAGCACCGTGCTCAAAGCTTCACAGTGTTCATACAGGCAGGGGTTGAGCTGCTGGATATCCAGCAAAGGCTCCTCATACACAAACTCCAGGAACTCCTTGGCCTGTTTAGACACCTGCAGGAGCACACAAGAGTTTATATTTGGATCTTTGCTCCAAGCACTGCGGATACATTAAACATAATCCCACACAAGCTGTACTTTCCAAGCATGTATGGGATAAAGTAGGTTTTAAAAAGCCCAACATAAAGACTAAGCTTTGTAAAGATCATGAAGACAGGATGCAGCATGTTGGTTTAGACATGCCTTCAGTTTTTCTTTACTTCGGGACAAGGCCAGGCTAGCTGTGTGTGTCTCCCACCTTGTGCTTACTGGTGTCCCAGTTGTGCAGCAGTCGTGCAGGGATGAGGAAAGAGTTATCCTGATGGCAGCTCTGGCAGTAGTACCAGCCGCTGTAGCAGCAAACCTTTGCCTTTCCTCTGGACAGGCCGACCGGACGCTGGCAACCTGGAGAGAGAGAGAGAGAGATACTCACTGAGCCTGTGGGCGAATGCAGCTATTACACAGGGCTCCAACATACGTTTGATTTTCCAGATTTAGATTTCCAGACTTGGTTCCCAAGCATTTTTATCCTCCTATTAACATAAATATTACAAAACACTGTCAATTTGTAAGTGGTCAGAGTTTTTATAAGGAAATTGCAAAAACTACAGTCATTAACTAACTACGGCTTTAAGAATGAGGATGGAGATGAGAAAAGAAAAATTGACAGATGGATGTTACTTTTAAGGTAAATAGGATAGAGAATAAATTATATATTGTTGTTTTTATACACTCTAACCCTAAGTTCTGTTTTTTGCCAAATGCATCTTAACACAACATTTCTAATAATATTAAATTTAAAATCCTAATATTGTAGACCTTCATTGATTGACAGAGAGATGAACAGATAGAAAATGAACGGATGGATTGACCTGCCATCTATTGAATGGGGATTTTGGGGAGCGACTTGCAGTTTTTTTTGTTGTTGTTTTGAAGCTGAGAAAGGAGCATCAGGAAATCAGCACGAGAACACCGGCAGAGATATCACCAAAAACGGAAGGCTGCCAGCCTCTCTGGAGCTCCCCTCAGCAGGAGATCGGATTTGCTCCCCGGGGAAACATCGCAAAAGAACTGAGATAGAAGGCAGCAGAGAGGGGCTACGGCTGGATGGAGCTAGCCTCTCGGCTAACTGCTGGAGATGTAAGGAGAGCAGTGGAGGATTAGCGCAGCCTGCTGGACAGAAAGAAAGACAAAAGCTGGACGGTGGAGGTAGGAGACGAAACAGTCCTTCTAGGGGTAAACCAACACGACTTTTTCAAAAGTGACCTAAAGACCTCTTAAGAGTATTCTCCACTGCATCCTTTGTCAACATTATTTTCTCCATCTTCAAAAAAAAAAAAACAAACAGGAACTGTGTAATTCTACCTATTGTTTTGTAATTATCATATATATTGCACTAGAATTTTGCCAGCTGTATTTAATCAACACCTTTACAGACAAAACAATATATCTGATACAGTTAACCAAGCGCAATGTAATCCACTTGTTCAATGTTTTATTTTATTAAAAAGCCAAGTCTCCTCTTTTATATGTAAATCTCTTTTATTGTCCCACAATGGGGAAATTCCCTCTCTACATTTAACCCGTCCCCTTTGGGGAGCAGTGGGCTGCTGCTGTGCGGTGCCCGGGGAGCAGTCTGGGGTTAAGGGTCTTGCTCAGGGACCCAAAATAGCAGTTTGTGGGAGTGTGAGACTTGGACTTAGAAAGGCGGGGTGCGTATATTATATATGTGCATACACAAATACTAGGCCTGCAACTAACAATAATTTTGCTAATCAATTAACCTGGTGAGTAATTGACCAATAATCTGATAGACAACGATTCTTTGAGGAAGACTTTTTACGAAAATAAATGAGGTTAAACAAAAACCTTTTCCGCTTGATGAGTTCTGGAAAAAGCATATTTATCTTAAATATGAAATGTTTATATATTTTTTTACAATCTTGGTGTAATTCCAGCTCTAAGTGGGTTGCTCTGTCAGCTAAAGACATGTTTTAGAGTCTCTACACTCCGGTTAACGACTCATCGAAAACTAAATTAGTTTAGGATTATCAAAAAAAAGTTGATTAAATCATGATTAATCTGATTAATTGTTTCAGCCCTAATAAATATGCAGTTGTTTACATACCAATTCCCAGGGAAGATTATGTTTCCTAGGAATTGGGACAAAATATCTTCTTCTTATCTGCATAAAATAAGGGCAAATATATTTATTTCACCCAAATTTACACTTATTTTTTGTGTGTTTTTCATGAATCCCACATGTATTAACATGTTTTCTTCATTAATCTAATATTATAATTATAATAAGTGGAAACGTCTTGTACTCAGCAGATCGGAAGGAATAAAACATCAGTTTGATTTAATTGTGAAAAAGTGTGGGTTAAAAGCAAGCAACTTTTCCACTTCACTGTTCAATGAGATCTCAATTTAAAATGTCTCCTTTCACCTCCTTCAAAGCAAAACAAAAAGTGATTTTTTGGATTTTGTTTTTTTTTAAAGGAGCTTTTTTTAGCTACAAGACTGAAGACATGAATCCCTCAATAATGGGGTGTGGTAATCCCAACATAACCACACCCAAACAAGGAGCAGATTGTTTAAGTTTCAACTTACAGCTTCAGATAAAAGAGTCTTTTTTTTTTTTTTTTTACAGCCATGACAAGCACCTTCAATAAAATATTTCTGCACACCAACAAGTCCAGCGGATCCTCTTTACTATTTGTCCCCATTGTTTCTCTGGTCTGCTTTGTCTTCTCAACCCTTTAAAGTTTGCTCTTCACCCAAACACCCGGGCCTGCTCTGTGATCAGGCGCCTCTAAACCCAGGAGCATTGAAGGCCTACAACAGGTGTCCCTTATCCACACTATCTTAGAGGATATGAAACCAGGATGAAAACAGCAAATCAGAGCAAAAGAAGATTCCGGAAGAAAAGAAATGTGAGATTATTATCGCTTATTTTTAAACAAAACAGAACCCTACTTTAAAAAGAGAAGAAGGAAGTGGCCGGACATGTACCAGCATGTCCATGGTGCTCCAGATGAAGACAGAGGAAAAAAGATGGAATAAAAAGAAAGAACAGGCTATTGAAAGATGAGAGAAAAGAAAAACAGAGAAAAGAAAAACAGAGAAAAGAACAGAGATCAAGAGAGATGAAGGAAGACATTAGGGGAGCGGTCAGAGCAGGAAGTTCCCTATTATCTCCTGTCGTCTGATCAGCATCAACAATGTCGCAATCAGCATTTAAAGATGAATTTGTGCTATATTTGATGTAGAACTAAAAACTCTCAGGTTAGAACTTAACTCACAGAGACGCACTGACACTATAAAGTTTGAAAAGTTTCCACTGCCACTAAAAGTCGATTGTTCGCTGGTTAAAAGGGGTTTTTCGGCTAGTGAAAAAGGGGTAAAAGAGATTATGAGTGACATGTTTACATAGTTTGCCTGAAGATACCTTTATTTCTTCACAAAACTATATTTTTCCAACATAGACTGAATCATCTGATGCCACAGGAACCCAATTATGCATTAAACCATTAAAACCACCTTAAGGTCACAGATAGGAGATAGATTTTTTTTTCTTTCCAGCTTTTATTGTCATTACACTGTCACAAGTACAGAGCAACAAAATTAGCTCTCATTTAACTCATCCCCTTGGGGAGCAGTGGGCTGCCATTGTTCGGCAATGGCAGCCCACTTCCTCACCGCCTTGGCCGTATCCACACCCACAGCTAGTTCCTGATTGTCCCTCTTACATTGTGGCGTGGAATAACATAGTGCAGAACACGCTTCAAAATTGGGCATAAATCAAAAATATCTGCAACAAGCTCACTGGGACACACTGCTGCGGAAGTTTAACCAGCCGTTTAAGGGCCTTGCACAGGGGCCCAGAGTGCAGGCTGTGTCGATCGAAACAGGTGCTTGTAACCTTCTCAGAGCACAAGCGTGGATCCTCTGGTATTTGACAACGTAAGCTGTTGGTTTGTGGGTTAATTCCTCTGAAAATTAGCTTTATTTCTAGCCTAGTAAAGTAGCCCCACCCGCCAGCAGGCAAAATCATTTTTGCCTGGGAGTGGTCTAGCCTCAAACGATGCCCCAGGCCCTAGAACTAGCTGGTCAATCACAACACAGAGATGTGTTTTGAATTTCTGGGTGCAAAGCGGGCGGGGGTTTGAGGGCGTGACGACAAAGCTGCGTGATGCAGGAGAAAGCACAACAAGGAAGATGGCAACAACTATTGAACAGTTCTCGTTTGACTCAGCTTTGGAATCAGTTTTGGAAGGATTAGATTTGGGGTTTTCGTTGAAACGTGAGCAGGAAGAGGCTCTACGCTCATTCATTTTTAAGAAGGATGTATTCACCGTTTTACCGACAGGCTGTTTGTTTACACTCCCTCACCAGCTTTCTGTCGCGTTTACTACGTCACAGTCAGTTGTGCTCATTGGTCAGAGCGTTGGCCAATAGGCACAGACATGGTTTGAAAGACAACGGGTTGTTCTCATCAACAATCTTCCGATGTCTCATTCTTTGGGGCCAGACTAAATTAGACCTTTAATCTCACATTTAGTCTGGTTTATCAGGCTACTTTATTTCTTTTAGAACCTGAGAAGTTTGAAGCTGCAGTCTAAAGTAGAGCAGAACCTTTACATCTAATAAGTATACTGTCTTACTGTTTTGAGGGTCTTTTAAAATACTCTGACCTCAGCAAGAGGAGAATGGCTAACAGCTAGTCAGACTATTTTAGCAGGCTTTTATCAATATAGAATAGTTGAAATAGTTAAAACAAAAGTTTAATATATTTATATCTTTGAAGTATAATTAATATTAATATAATCACATTCATCCATACTTTCCATAAAGATCTTCATTAGTTGTGTAACCGTTTTCTCAACCAAATTTTTACATCACTACTCTAAGTTGCGCTGGTTTACCTTTTAGCTGATCAATCTGACTCATGTAGACCAACAACACTTGAGCGTAGAGACATTTTTTTTTTTTTTAGTTTCACCTTTACCCAAAAACTCTCAAAGCTTAAATTATCCACCCTTTTTCTATTTATCTTTTAAGCTTCACATTAAATCATTTACAACTTCTGTACTTTGAAGGGGAAATTTTTAACTTATAATAGATTACAGATTTTAAATGAAAATCAACCCCCAAAACCTGCATAAATAATCCTATAAAATAAAACGACTGCAAAGATATGAACTGAAACATAATTTTCTTTCGTTTTAACAAAAGTGCAACAACAAGATTTCAAACTAAGGTTCGAAATAAATTGGATTCATAATTTTTATTGGCATAGAAATCACCCCTTCAGAAACAGGATGGCCTCTTTCAATGCATCACTACAGTGTTTATTCATTTAAACACGGTTTCTTAACCAAAGTCCTCAGGGCCCACTGTCC